GCGCCACCACTTGTCCAAAATTGAGGACAGTCTCAACATTAACCTCAGCAAGTTTGGAGTCTCTAACTCCAACTCTCTAGCGCCACCACTTGTCCAAAATTGCAATTTATATATGCTAATAACTTTTGAACCATAAGGCACAAAATGAAAATTCTTTTTTCCTTTAAATCATTGGCTCATGCCGAGTCGAATCGCAGGGTTTAGTTTTTTCGCTATTTTTAATTGTTTGTAAAACTTACTTTCTCGAACTCATCCTAGACGGTTTGTCTGATTCTCACCAAAATTGGCTCAGATCATCTTCAGACCATGCTGACAAAAAGATATGGAATTCAAGTTGATTCGTCTCACCGTTCTCGAATAACGCACGAAGGAATTCTACGAAAAGCACGTAAAAATGGCTGTGAGGCTATATCTCCGCAACGGTTTGGCGTATTGAGACCAAACTTGGTGTGTTTTATAACAAGCATGACCTGAAACTATCTGCAGTGTTTCGGCACAGTGCCCCCTAGTGGTCAGGAGATATAAAAAATTCATATTTTTGCTTATAACTTCTGAATGGTTTGGCCAAAAATTACAAAACATCTCTCTCTTTAGATTCAGTGCATCATGCCGAGTCGAACCATACCAAATTTTTCCATGCCAGCCATTTTGGGCGTCGGCCATTTTTAATTTTGTCAAAAAATGCAATATTTTAAGAACGCTTAGACTTTGTTATTACGAAAATCGGTATGCATCTTCAGCACCATGCCCTGATGGCACTCAAAAAGTTTGGGCGCAGCGCCACCTTGTGGTCAAAAGTTATAAAGCAATTTATAAAAATGCTAATAACTTTTGCATACATTATAATATTGTAATGAGACTGATGTTTATAGATAATGCTAATAGCTTTCTTTGATTTTTGCTTTTTGTTTGAGACTGGTATTAATAGATTCCTTGGGTCATGCTGAGTACAGTGAATCAATTGTTGCCATAGTCAGCCAAACTTCATGTCCGCCATTTAGATTTTCTTTAAAAAACTACTTTTTCGATCTCCTCCTAGACCGTTGGTCCGATTTTCACCAAAATCGATTCATATCATCTTCAGACAATGCTGACAAAAAGTTATGGATTTTGTGTTGATAGACAAAACCGTTTTCGTATACCACAGCAACAAATTTGAGGCATGATGCCAAAATGACTCTGAGGCTGTATCTCTGCATAGCTTTGACATAATGACAACAAACTTTGTGTGTGTCAATGTCACCTCACACAGAACACACCAAAAGGATTTGATTACAGCGCCATCTGTTGGTCAAAAGTGATAAGCCATTTAATCATATTTCTAGAGGTTGTATTTTTGATTTTTCAGCCATTTCAATTACAATCATCCTAAAATTGCTTTTATTACTCATTGTTACATTTGGTTTGATGCTCCATGCCATGCTTAGCTCCTCAATTTGCCTCTGGAGTGCTTAGCCCCATGATTGCTGCTTGCAGCTATATTTATTAGGGGCCAAGCACCGAAGGTGCGATGGCACCTATTGTATTTGTTGGCGTTCTTATTATAGATGTTGGCAAAAAGTTATGGAATTCAAGTTGATTCGTCCAACCGTTCTCGAATATCGCATGATTGAATTTGACGGGTCTCTTTAGATTCGGTGGACTTTTGCATACATTATCATATTGTAATGAGACTGATGTTGCTAGATTCCTTCGAACATGGCAAGAACATCGATACCAATTATGCTATAATTAGCTGAACTTCCTGTCCGCCATTTTGATTCATGTTGAAAACCTACTTTTTCGAACTCCTCCTAGACCATTAGTCCAATTTTCACCAAATTTGACTCGAAACATCTTCAGACCAAGCTGGCAAAAAGTTATGGATTTTGTGTAGATATACGAAACGGTTTTCGTTTAGCGCATCAACGAATTTGCTTGAAAGATGCCAAAATGCATCTGAGCCTGTATCTCTGCAAAGCTTTGACATATTTGCACCAAACTTTGTATGTGCCATTGTCACCTCAAACTGACCACGCCACATCAATTTGGTAACAGCGCCACCTATTGGTCAAGAGTAATAAACCATTCATTAACCATTAATAATTACATTTCCAAAAATGCAAATAACTTATGATTGCATTAGCCTATTGTAATGAAACTGGTCTCAAAATATTCCTTGGCTTATGCCAACAACATAGGTACCAAATATGCCAGAGTAAGCTTAACTTCCTGTCCGCCATTTTGATTTATGTTGAAAACCTACTTTTTTTAACTCCTCGCCACTCGTTGGTCCGATTTTCACCAAAATCGAGTCAGATGTTCTTCAGCCTGTGCTGACACAGAGTTATGGATTTCGTGTTGATAAACGAAACCGTTTTTGTACAGCACCACTACAAATTTTAGGCATAGTGCCAAACTGCATCTGAGGCTGTATCTCTGCAAATATTTGACATATTGACACCAAACTTTGTAAGTGCATTTGTCACCTCACACTGACCATGCCACATTAATTTGGTAAAACCTAACCTTTAAAAAAAAAAAAAGGCCGTGTCGGCCGCATCCTTCGAAGGACCCGTCCTCCGAAGGATGCGGTCTTTGAATTGGGACACAGCTTATATAAACCAGTCTTACACCACCATTCAGGGCCGAGTCTTGTAAGCGCATATCACTCACCTAGCGATAGATACTTTACGGAGCCAGTTCCCTCTCCTTGTTTAAGTATTTAGTTCTAGTTTCCATAGTCTAGTCAAAGTATTGCCTTACCTGTTTTCTCGTGTTCTGATCCTTCTGCCTGTTTATCTTGGATTAACCCTTTGCCTTGCTGTTTCGGACTGTGTTTGCACCTCGCCTGGACTTTTGCTCTTGTTATTGGACTACCCCTCTTGTCAAGCCCCTTGGATTACGTTCGCTGTCGACTGACTCACGCCCGTTTTGGATTACTCTTTGTCTTGCCCTCATTTCCCTGTTTGCCATTGTCAAACTCAATGGCAAATCTCATCATTTCTGATATGTTATTAGACAACCATCAATTTACTCTAACACTTGAACACACCAAGACTGTCAAATCTGATAAAGGTGACCCAATAATTATTTCCAGAATTAATTTAGGGGTTTGCCCTCTGCTTTCTATGTCTCGGTACCTGAAAACCTGGCATCACGACTTGCCTGATGACCCCTTGTTCCTTACGGAGGATGGCAACCTATTGACAAGCTCCTGGTTTGCCTCTAAATTCAAGCAGCTCTGTCAATTCTGCAGCTTCAATACAGATGTGTACAGTCTGCACTCAATCAGGGTCGCAGCAGCAACGATAGCAGAGCCTAAAGTGCTGACCTCTACTCTAAAAGAAATGGGCCGATGAATTTCAGCAGCTTTTGAACGTTATATGACCTAATTCCAAAGATATTGTCGAAAGCCAAAAGTTAATGAGTTTTTAATGTAAGTAAAATGAATGCTTAACAGGTGGTGCTGGATTAAGTTAGTTCATTCAGTTAGTTTGTTCATTAATTATTGCTTAGCTTCCAAAAAAAAAAAAATCTAGTAGTATAACCTTCGTCTACATATAGTTATCTTTTTGCAATAGTAATTATCACTAATTCTGGTACACATAATCAATTATCACAGTTAATTAATTCCTGGGATTCACATGTCCAAGTACACATTTTTAGTCAGGTCACTAGAACTAGGCTCACATCTATAATAGTCCAGAGAGCTAAGCCATTCGGCTTATCAGCCATAGGCCTTATAAGCCATAGGCTCACATAGCTAGTACACTTTCGGGCTCCTGGAGCAGCAGCAGTACACAATAGTGTTGTCACGGTACCAAACTGAGCTCACGCCGAATAAACAGGCATATTGAGCAGATTCTGACTTAACAGCCTCTGATTGGCTATTGTGTTCACATGCTCAACAAACATGTTTATGATTGGCTACATTGATCAACACTTCAAAAACACAGTGTAAATCCAAACCTTTGACGCTCAGTGTGTTTTCATTCAAGCACAGTAAGATGTGAAAGAGATCTGAATTTAGGTATATTGGTGCACTGCCAGTGGTTGTCTTGTAGGCAAACACCAGTACCTTGAAATTGATGCAAGCGGCTAATGGCAGCCAGCGCAAACTGATGAAGAGAGAGGTGTGACGTGGGCTTTCTTTGGCTCGTTGAAGACCACTCTTGCTGCTGCATTCTGAATCAGTTGCAGAGGCTTGCTAGTACATGCAGGACCGCCTACCAAGAGAGCATTACAGTAGTCCAGTCTGGAAGTGTCTAATCATCCTAATGTTGTATAAGGCAGATCTGCAGGATCGGGCCATAGAAGCAATATGGTCTGTGAAGCTTAACTGATCATCAGTCACAACTGCAAGGTTACTGGCTGTCCTGGAAAGAGCTATGGTTGATAATCCTAGCTGTATAGAAAAGTTGTGATGGAGCTAAACTATACATGTGGCAAGCGGTGCAAACAACAATAGCAGGAGAAGAAGCCATTACTCACCGTGATTGATGAATGATTCTTACTTACCACAGTTGTTTGTTGAATTTGTGAAAAAAAACGGAGCGAGAGAAAGAAAAAAAGAAAACAGCAATAGGCACGAATGGAAACGCTAATGACAAGCTAACGAATGCTAACGCGCTGCATGTGCGCTGCACTCGCGGTTTTAGAATAAAAGCGAACGATCAAATTAATCAGATTAGGTTGATAGATAATATCAGAAATATGGTGGGAATTAAGTTATATTTTATCACTTTAAACAACAGAGTGATAGAGATTTTACAGAAAAACAAAGCTACACGGAGCTTAAATTAAGAGGACAAATTACGAATATGGGTTATCATACTTGACTTATACACCACTATCACTATAACTGTTTACTTTAATAAGATTCAGGTGTGTCGAAACTAAACTCTACAGGAGCTTTACACACTCTGATTTAACATGTCACTCAGAACCAGGAAACAGGAAACAGATCAGTTCAGAAACTGAAAGTGTAGTTGAGCTGTTGTGTGTTTGTGTCTCTATAGTCAAGCAGTAAAATGGCAGGAGCCAGAATTTTTCAGGTTGAGTTCATGTGTCCATTGTGTCCGGATCTCCTGAAGGATCCAGTGACCATTCCCTGTGGACACAGTTACTGTGAGAGCTGTATTACAGACTGCTGGGATCAGGAGGATCAGATGAGAGTCTACAGCTGCCCTCAGTGCAGACAGACCTTCAGTTCAAGACCTGCTTTAGCTACAAACACCATGCTGACTGAAGTGGTTGAGAAACTGAAAAAGAGGAAACGTCCTGCTGACTGTGATGCTGGAGCTGGAGATAAGAAGTGTGACGTCTGTACTGGAAAAAAATACAAAGCTGTCAAGTCCTGTCTGATGTGTCTGAACTCTTACTGTCAGAATCACCTTGAAGAACATGAGAGTTGGTTTAAAGGAAAGAGACACAATTTGACTGATGCCACTGGACGACTGCAGGAGATGATCTGCCAGAAACATGAGAAGCTCCTTGAGGTTTTCTGTCGCACTGACCAGAAATGTATATGTCTGCTGTGCATGGACGAACATAAAAACCACAACATTGTATCAGCTGCAGAACAGAGGACAGAGAAACAGGTATTTAAAACTAGACACTGATGAAATATTGTTTCACTACTCGTTTCACTATATTAACAGCTTACAGCATTCACACTTCACACAGCAGAAATGAACAGCAGCTGCAAGAAGAGTTTCACACAATCTTTCATAAAATAGTCTTTGATTAAACAACATAAAATAATGGAGTGATCCATTCACCTGTTCTTTGACTAAATATATACTTTCATTAGTCAAAATACAAGCTCTTCTACACAGCAGAAACACTGTCAGTGTGAAGCTCTATGTCTGTATCAGTTTCACTTTTATGTAAGGAATCCCCAAACTGGCCCAACCACAGTATCGAATGGGTGGCCGAAGGTCTTTTAATTTCGCTTCTGCAAAGTTCACTTAAATTATCAGGATTTAGTTTCAATTTTAGTCTAGCTCCGTGTTTAATCTGACTCCAATTTCAAGGGATCATTAAATTTAGATTGTATTTCTAATTCACGAGTTCGCCTGCCCATCCAGTCCTGATGGTTAATGGTAAACAAACTTGGCTTGCTGTCCTCAATGGAGGCTCGAACCCGAGGCTCAGCTTGAGCTCAGAGTTCAACCCCCCCGCCCATTGGGGCACTACCTAGAGGGAGAATAACAGAAATAGAGAAGGAGAAGGGGAGGTGGAGGTGGAGGTGGAGGGATACCGGATTAATTGATGCTGGGGCGGTCCAATGAGTGCTGCTTATATAGGTTCATAATGATGATTGACAGGCCTGAATGATTAGGCTCCTCCCGAACCTACGTTTGGAACTTTATTTCATTGCTACAATGACCGGAAATAAGCTGTTACAACGCAGAGGCCGAGAATGTAAAAATCCCTAAGCAACCATAAACAAGACGGCACAATGCGCATTCAGTTGTTTATTTAAGTACAAATGATGAATTATGAGGAGGATGTTTAGGCAATACTTACATTTTTCGCTGCACATCACTCTAGTCTCAGTGCTACCTGAGGTGCTGTTGCCAACAGCAGACATATCTTTGTACAAATGAAAAAATCGTTCAAATTAGCTTAAGTTTAAAACATAACACAGATTAAATGAAAGACTAATGGTATAATTATAAGTATACTGATGGAATTACACTGGTATATATTATAAAACAACATTTACCTGCCTAATCTGTCACGTTGTAAAGACTACGGCAAAGCAGCTGTTCTCCCGTAGTAGGTGATTACGGTAGAACATCACAAAGTAGTTAAAGTTGTGAACTTTGGAATGCCGTTGCCGTTCCATCAGCAGCCGCCACTCAAAGTCCCTAATGATTCAGTGTTGAAAACGTCATTTGAAACACAACAGTAATCTGACCAATGGGAACTAGATCTATGATAGAGTGGGTGGGCACGATATGCAGGGACCAATCGGCCACTGTTTAACAGTTGGAGTGCGTTTGGATTGGATTGCATGCTCAGATTGACATGTCTATAATTTACTGTACGCTGTAGAGTAGGAGCGCACGGACGCTGAGACATTACACGTTCACAAATTGTTACTTATTTAATAAGATTATAAATGTAGGAATACCGCTTAGGCGTCAGATCATTAACTCTTTCCCCACCAAACACGGAATTTTCCGTTATTCATGAGACAACACTTTCCAGCCAAACACGGAATTTTCTGTGTTTCTGTGTTTTCACTGTGTTGTAGGAAAATTAATGTTTTACTCTTTCTTATTTACTTTCTTAGACATTGTGGGTTTTTATTTATATATATATATTAATTAACTTGTGTTTCTCTCTCAATATGTATACATATGTCACCTGAAATGCAACAGAGACACCACACAGTAAAACAGAGAGCCTTTGAAGTCTTTAGTACGGGTAATTTAATCAGGAAAGACAGAGGGGTTCATAAATAAAGACCTTTTGACCTCACGGGTGTGAAGGCACACAAACACACAGTAAAAACAAATGATCAGAAAGAGTCTTTGAACTCTTTAGTGCAGGAAAGACAGAGGGGTTGTTGACCTCACAGATGTGAAGATAATAAAAGCCCAGGGGGTTAGAAGGACCATTGTTTTTTCTAAAAACAGCTAGGTTTGGTTTACGGGGTTAAGTGGAAAATTACAGAGAAGGAACCTTGTAAGAAGTGGGGGGTGATAACAGTATAATAAGGCTGTCTGTTTTCAGTGTGATTTTAGGTCTGTTGTGTTTCAGGGTAGCTGCTGAAACATTGTGAACATACCTCTTTAAGGAAAATAAACTTCTTTCCTTAAATATAATTTGATTTCTTGTCTCTTACACTGTGATGCTATTTGTTAATAATTGTTTTTGCCACAACAACTGTTATATGCTAGGGGGCGCTATTACCTATCTCCTGAATGAGTATAGAATGTGCCTATCAAAAACACAGACCAGGAAGACACAGAAACGAGTGATCTCGTATGTATGCATATGCATCTGAAAAATAATACAATCATCAGCACTAAACCGCATATAAATGAAAACTGCCTAATGATAGGCTCCTCCCAAACCTACATTTGGAACTTCAATTAAAACTGATCACAAAATCGATTATGTATTAATTTAGATATGTGATTATTTTGAATATCCCATACTTTCAATTATTCGTTCATTAAGGACCCGGTATCGCATAGAAATTCACTCGGCCATTAGTGAACTCAGGGAAACAAACTCGCCAGGTCTGATCTTATGCCGAGTTCACACTGCACGATTTTCAAAGACGTCGCATCACTTCAGTCAGAACTCATTGCACACAGCGTGATTGTGAATCGCCGACAGCTCCAGATATTTAGCATGGCAAATATTTCACGGGCGTTGGCGACGCGTCGGCGATACTCTCAGATCGTGTCTTTGATAATTCACACTGCGTGATTGTCACTCGCGTGAACGAGCACCGATTTGCCTCTGATTTCAGGCATTTGTTGGCGATTTCGCAAAACCTGTCGGCGAGTGAAAAATCGCTGAACTATAATAGTGAACTATACCTTTAAGTCGGTTGCCACATGCTCACTCGTACAAAAAGTGTAGTTTCCTTTAGCCACACAGCTGCAACTTGCAAAGTCAGTGATAAACAGAAATCAGAAGGTCCCTAATGATGTGCCCTATGCTCCATTCATTGGTACTTCGGTATGATCTATGCTGGACACAGATTTGTGGAAACACCAGACTGCACCTTAATCTACTAGAAATAATGATTTCAGAAGAGATCGAAATAAATCAAATATAACATTTTAGTTGTCAGATAAATGCCACATAAATGCCAATTAAATAATTAAACAATTAGAATACAACCCAGAATAAGGTTCAGTTCCAGTTCAGATAAATACATAACATCAATTGCTGAAATATGAATCTAAGAGATGCATACCTGACAGTAGAGAGACACACAGTGGCCTGTGAGAGTTCTAGTGCAGAGCTCCAGAGACTCACACACCCTCTGTGGGGTTATCTGGGCTGCGTTTCCCGAAACCTTCTTAATGCTACGTCGTTCGTAAGTTATACCTTAAGTTGTACCTTTACATTAATACGTGTTTCCTGAAACGTTCTTAGTTAAGTATACCTTCTGTAAGTCATTCGTTCGTAAGGTTAGTCTGGACCACTCTTAGCTATACCTTATCGCTGTTCACAGTTCACTCCGCTAGTGGCCACCACTGTGCAAAAACCTTCTTCACATTTCAGTCGATACGATTGTAATTCTGTGGCAAGAAAAAGTGCAGAACCAAATAAATATTACAATTCTAAAGTTGTAATACACCCAGTGTTCAATTAGTGTTCAATTAATTTAAGTGTTTTTATGCAAAGAATAAAACTGTCATTGTATTGATGGTTGTTAGTTTTTCCATTATAATATACAATTAGGCAGCACATAATTAGGAGTCTATTTAAAGGTATCCAAGGTTGCATTTAGTTTGAAATTTGGATTATTTAAAAAATGCAGTGAGCCCCGATAAATGCAATTTCTAATATTTCTAAAGTGTTTCTTTATAACGAACATCACTTTACCCACTCTATAACGCAGTGAAAGAGCTCCTGTATTGAACAATCGATTCTCGAGCCATCGATATCAACCTATTCAGCACCACCGCCATGGACAGTACCTGCTAACGTCGCATGTAAGTAGGTTTACCTTAAGCAACATCCTAAGGTATAGTTCGGGGAACACGCCTAGAACAGGTATACCTTTAGTTAAGATATACCTTTAGAGCCTTCGTAGTGAGCTAAGAGACAACATTATCGGGAAACGCAGCCCTGGCTACAGAATCCCCAATAACTATAATGCCGCTTCACTTTTATATCTAGACCAAAACAAAGAAATCTTCAAATCGGAAACATAAAAGACTTTTTGGTTTGTTAAGATCTCATGACCCTAGGGTTGGAGAAAGGAAAACATTCTCACCCCACACTGATGGAGACATACCCCTCAGCAGCAGAATACAATTCTTCAAAAGTGTTCAATTTTCTCATAATATAAGTGACTACTGTGAAATTGAGACCATTTTACCAATCGCACAGAGAACTTTAGAATGATACTAAACATGAAGGGGAAAAACAACAGATTCACAAGATACATCATATGTGGTACATAGATATTCTTAGTGAACTTTCAGTGAAGCCTTGTGGGGAGAGGGAGAGGGGAGAAAGGGGTCATAAATGAGCAAGGAGAGAGGTTTGGGCAAGGCGGTGTCATTTGCTGTCTTTGTAGATTTCTTCTCCAGATTAGTTTTATTGTTTTGTTGCATGGCATCTGTTTTTTGAGAGTTCCTGGACTTTGATTTCATGGGGAGATCATTTCACTTCTGAGACATTTACAATCTTCTGTTTGTCCTCCAGCACCAACTGAAGGATACGCAGAAGACGTTCCAGCAGAGAATCCAGCAGAGAGAGAAATATCTTCAGCAGCTGAGAGAGGTTGTGGAGTCTCATAATGTGAGTCTGGAGAAGAAGAGAAATTTGTCTCAGTCTCAGTTCAGACTCACTAAAGCCTGATTCACTGTGCGTCCTAACAGCGCTCTGCACAGACAGCAGTGGAGGACAGTGAGAGGATCTTTTCTGAGCTCATCCGTTCCATTATGAGAAGCCACTCTGAGCTGATACGGCTGATCAGAGATCAGGAAAAGATTGCAGTGAGTCGAGCTGAAGGACGACTGGAGCGACTGGAGCAGGAGATCAATGATCTGAGGAGGAGAGACACTGAGCTGGAGCAGCTTTCACACACACAGGATCACATCCAGTTCCTGCAGGTAACAGAAATCTAGAAGAACAGGATCATAGTGGACTTGAGCAGATCCTGCTCTGACAGAGACTCACAGAGAAACATTTCATGAGTGTCTTATTATATAATCATCAGTCAGACTCTCATCTGATCATCTTCTTTTGAAAGAGACGCCGCCTACAAATGGCTTTCAGCTCTGGAAATCTCTTTTCCTTTCTCTCAGCTCTTTCTTCTGGAAGATATATTTAGCTGTCAAACACCTCTAGCGCCACCAACAGTTCAAAACTTTTTCATTTCAGCATCTACCTCATTTTTCATTCTGATTTATTACATCATGGTGAAATCAGTGAACTCGATAGTACAGATTCTGAGTAAAGTTCATCAAAATTGTATCAGGTGATCCTCAAACCTGATAAAACTAATTTTTATTGGCCTGTATCACATTGATGATCATGAAGACCCGAAACATGAATTGAGTCTGTATATTAGCAATGCTTCAGTCTATCGAAACCAAACCAAACCTGAGTGTGTCTTAAGGGTCATAGTGAAGTTATAAATGATTGTCAAACTACAGTAGTCAGCATTTGAAGTGGATCAATAAAATTCATCAAAGTTGTCCTAAGACAAAAAAGCATTTTGGTTTTAGGTTTTACAACAACTTTGATGAAAGGTTTTGATCCACTTCAAATGTTGACTACTATAATCGTAGCCTTTCAGCTGCTTTTCCTGAGCAAATCTACTCAACCCTACAATGAGACTCCATTGATGTGCTTGAGCGTTTAGATGAACATTTATGTTCTTAGCAGATGTTTTATCATCCAAACTATTTCCTAGAAAGTTCTCATATAGTGTAAGTGGCAAATACTAGAATCTGTAGCTCTAATCTGATATAATGAATATAAGAAGAATGAAGCTGATGCTGTGAAAGTGCTGGATTGAGGTGAGCTACTAAAGATCAGTCAAGTCAACAAGAGCCGCACAAATCTGATGTTGGTACAGGTTATTGGGTGAAGTGTGGATCTGATGAGTTTTGATTTCTGTTTTCTGTAGAGTTTCCAGTCTCTTTCAGCACCTCCTGAATCTACAGATGGAAATGACGATCCCTTCATTTCTGTATTCTCTTCTGATGGTCTGAGAGAATCTGTCCATCAGCTGAGAGACAAACTGGAGGATTTATGCAAAGAGGAGCTCAAGAAGATCTCAGACAGAGGTAAAGTCCTGGAGTCCCCAAGCATTTCTGCAGATTCTGTTGATCTTCTCCTTGATTCCTTTAACTCAATAACTTTTGTTTACATTAGCCTATTGTAATGAAACTGGTTTTGATAGATTTATTGGATCATGCTGAGAACATCTATACCAATTATAGATGAATTTCCTGTCCGCCATTTTGGTTCATGTTGAAAACTCACTTTTTCGAACTCCTCCTAGACTGTTAGTCCGATTTTCACCAAATTTGACTCGGATCATCTTCAGACCAAGCTGGCAAAAAGTTATGGATTTCGTGTCAATATATACGAAACGGTAATCGTTTAGCGCATTCACGAATTTGCTGGAAAGATGTCAAACTGCATTTGAGGCTGTATCTCTCCAAAGCGTTCACATATTTACAGTAAACTTTGTATATGCCATTGTCACCTCACACTGACCATGCCACATCAATTTGGTAACAGCACCACCTATTTGGGAAGAATGATAAACCATTAATTAACCATTAATTATGACATTTCTAAAAATGCTAATAACTTTTTGATTGCATTAGCGTATTTGTAATGAAACAGGTCTGAAAACATTCCTTGGGTCACGCTGACATCATAGATACCAATTGTAACATAGTTGGCAGAACTCTCTGTCTGCCATTTTGATTTATGTTGAAAACATACTTTTTCGAACTCCTCCTAGCCTGTTGGTCCGATTTTCACCGTGTGCCATTGTCACCTCACACAGAACACACAACATATATTTTATAACAGCGCCACCTATTGGTCAAAAGTGATAAGCCAATAAATCATATTATTAGTGGTTGTATTTATGATTTTTCAGTCATATTGACTAAAATCATCTTAAAATGGTTTTAATTACTAGACACAACAAAATAGAGACTGTTCTCCCTGTGAGCCATTTTGATTTATGTTGAAAACATACTTTTTCGAACTCCTCCTAGCCTGTTGGTCCGATTTTCACCAAATTTGACTCAGATCATCTTCAGACCATGCTGGCACAAAGTGATGGATTTTGTGTCAATAGACAAAACCGTTTTTGTATAGCACTGCTACAAAGTTGAGGCATGATGCCAAAATGACTCTGAGGCTGTATCTCTGCAAAGGTTTGACATATTGACACCAAACTTTGTGTTTGCCATTGTCACCTCACACAGAACACAACATATATGTTTGAAGTGCAGGAACTCTGTCCTTCTACAGCGTCTCTGACACAATGAGCCTCATCCACACAGTCCAGACCACATTCACTCAGCCGCTCTATCCTGGGGTTTGGGTTAATAATGAATCATCAGTGAAACTGTGTTGATGAATCAGAATAGATTGACGAGAGATTCTACCCTTAATGCTTTGAGCTGTAGGATGAATCAGTAACATTGAGATGTTATAGAGCAGGGTTCCTCAATTAGTCTTCACCGAGGGCCAAATTCTGGCAACAATACCAAGCCAAGGGCCACCGACCATGTTATGACCAAAATGTTTGCTCTTATTATTATTATTATTAGGTGCGTAGGCACCTATTGTATCCGTTGGCATTCTTATTAGGGTCCAAGCACCGGAGGTGCGATGGCACCTATTGTATCCGTTGGCGTTATTATTATTCTTCCGTTTCTTCCGCGATTTCGGCTATGGCAGCCCATAGAACCATTTGTCTGCATCTGAGGCTGTATCTCTGCAAAGGTTTGACATATTGACACCAAACTTTGTGTTTGCCATTGTCACCTCACACAGAACACAACATATATGTTTGATAGATCATTGATCATTGATCATTGATCATTGATAGATATAGAAGATCATTGAATGCATAAGTATGTTCGCAGCCTTAATTGACATGCAGCTATGGGCAGTTCTCGAATAATATGCGAACGAATTCTACGAAAAGCACGCAAAAATGGATGTGAGGCTATATCTCCGCAACGGTTTGGCATATTGAGACGAAACTTGGTGTGTGTTACAAGCAAGACCTGAGACTACCTGCAGTGTTTCGGTGCAGTGCCACCTAGTGGTCAGGAGATATGAAAAATGCATATTTATGCTTATAACTTCTGAATGGTTTGACCAAAAATCCCAAAACTGGTCTCTTTAGATTCGGTGTAGCATGCCGAGTCCAACCAATTTTCCCAAGTCAGCCAATTTGGGCGTCGGCCATTTTGTATTTTTTAGTAAAATGCTATATTTAAGAACGCTTCGGCTTATCATTACGAAACTCCTTATGTGTCTTCGGCACCATGCCCTGATGGTACTCAAAAGGTTTGGGGGCATTTTCATTTTCTAAAAATGCTAATAACTTTTGTTTACATTAGCCTATTGTAATGAAACTGGTTTTGATAGATTTATTGGATCATGCTGAGAACATCTATACCAATTATAGATGAATTTCCTGTCCGCCATTTTGGTTCATGTTGAAAACTCACTTTTTCGAACTCCTCCTAGACCGTTAGTCCGATTTTCACCAAATTTGACTCGGATCATCTTCAGACCAAGCTGGCAAAAAGTAATGGATTTTGTGTCAATATATACGAAACGGTAATCGTTTAGCGCATTCACGAATTTGCTGGAAAGATGTCAAACTGCATTTGAGGCTGTATCTCTCCAAAGCGTTCACATATTTACAGTAAACTTTGTATATGCCATTGTCACCTCACACTGACCATGCCACATCAATTTGGTAACAGCACCACCTATTTGGGAAGAATGATAAACCATTAATTAACCATTAATTATGACATTTCCAAAAATGCTAATAACTTTTTGATTGCATTAGCGTATTTGTAATGAAACTGGTCTAAAAACATTCCTTGGGTCATGCTGACATCATAGATACCAATTGTACCATAGTTGGCAGAACTCCCTGTCTGCCATTTTGATTTATGTTGAAAACATACTTTTTCGAATTCCTCCTAGCCTGTTGGTCCGATTTTCACCAAATTTGACTCAGATCATCTTCAGACCATGCTGGCACAAAGTGATGGATTTTGTGTCAATAGACAAAACCGTTTTTGTATAGCACTGCTACAAAGTTGAGGCATGATGCCAAAATGACTCTGAGGCTGTATCTCTGCAAAGCTTTGACATATTGACACCAAACGTTGTGTGTGCCATTGTCACCTCACACAGAACACAACATATATGTTTGATAGATCATTGATCATTGATCATTGATCATTGATAGATATAGAAGATCATTGAATGCATAAGTATGTTCGCAGCCTTAATTGACATGCAGCTATGGGCATATCTAAAATTTGCCAAGTTGAACTTAATATGATTGCAACCTTCTTGATGTGCGATTTAAAAGTAAGATTGTTATCCTCAATGTGGAGAAAAAATATTCAATGGTTTATATTCAACAAATATATGGTTTATATTCAACAATTAATTTGATATGAGTCATAAGTCATAGGATATCACGGGTCTATTTCAAATGAATGTAAATGCATCATGTGCAGCTCAAAACTGTCTGAAACATATATCTTAAGGTCCTTTTCATTTTTTTCACATCTGCATCCAGTGCTTCCATCTTCATCTGATTTAGGATGTAATGACCTGTAGATATAAATGATTTAAATTAACTGTTATTATTATCCTTCCAATCAAAATTTGAAGTTCAAAAAAAAAAACGTAGCTTTAATTTTCAATGCTGATATAACCACAGAAGGCCTGTTTTGTGTATTCCACGTCGTACAATAAAATTGTTTAATGCACACTTAGTTGTGGATGAATCCTTAATTACTTAACCCTTATGAGTCCCTCGGATCATTTTGACATGAAACTCTTTTTTTTTTTTTTATTCTAAAAATCGTATGTTGATCATTACGGTCCAAGATTTATTTATTTTTGTCACACTTGCACCGGCAATACACACACAACAAAATTGAGTGGATTCGAGGAGTTAAAACGGGTGTTATTAAAAAAGTAACAATTCAATTTTGACCCGCATAGGAATTAATGGAATTTACGAGAAAACTGCGTTTTTTATTATATTCGATTTTCTATATATATATATATATATATACAAAATCTGACACAATCCAGTAAATATTTATACCCAAATGAAGGGCTGAGACTACAGAATATCCCCAATGCAGAAAACACTCACATACACACATACACATACACGCACACACATTCACAAACACACCCATGGTACACACACTCCCATAGAAACACATTATAACATGTTTCATGTTTCTGCTGGGAATTGACTGTCATTTTCCCATTTTTTTAACTTAACACAGTTAAATTTGTGTGATGTGATGGAGACAAATGAGTTGATATCATATTTATATATTTTTTAAATATATTAGATATTTATTTCATATTTATGAAAATGTATGAATATACATACATTTAGGTTATAATTCTTTTTTTTTCTTTTTACAAAATGTAAAAAATATATATTTTTTAGTGTTTCAATATATATTTGAATCCATAAACAACCAAACTGAAGCCTCAAGACTATCTAATTTCTCATGTTTCACTTGTTTTGCTCAGTTAAAAATCTCCATAGGTTCATATAGGCCCCTCTAGTGGCTGTAACCATAAAATGCGATTTTATGCCATTTTCCCCCACCAGATGGCACCAGAGACAATCAGTGACTAAATTCCAAGGGCATCTGTTGTGCTGCGTCTCAATGTGCCTACTTATACTACGCCCTTAAAGTATATACTCTTTTGGTGAAGAAAAAGTACGCACTTTTGAGTGTGTAGTAGAAGAGTAGGCAAGCTTTGGGACATACTATCACATCACACAATTGCGTCTTTAAAGGACCGCTCTGTCGCACCTGTTACACGCACCCTGTCACTGTAAACTGGCCTGTCAATCATCTTGTCACAGTTAACATCCTCCACATTTAATTTAATTTAACTTTCTACCATACAGGAGAGAAAAGAAGTAGCTCGTTGATCTGCCAGTCGCGGGTCTTTCATGCGGAGAACTCTGCTCATATTTTCTGCATAATGAATCAATTTATAAAAGTTCACATTGCTGTTGAAGATGAAAT